TTGCTCTTATTTTCACATTAGTCTATTATAAAGATATATACATTGTTAGAAATTTTAAAGTTTATTTTTTTAAATTAAAGGTCAACACCCTTATGACACACTAGTCCCTGTGCCTCTAAAGATAACTACTTAAGATTTTTTTCCAGAAAAAGAATATTTATGCATAGTAGCTAATCTTTATGTACTTTTGATGTACTTTATTTTATCATATAATGTGGTAGTTACATAATCTGGTGTCAATTTGGGACTTGAGAGGATTGAGAGTGAAGGGGTGGAGTCTGGTCTTTCAATTGGTCATAGCCAATGAGGCCTCTGTGTGCATGGCCTTCTTTTGGGAATTCTTGGAACTCCTATATTTCCTCCTTGGAGGTGGGAGACACTTCCCTCTCTCTCTGCTGACTCCCTTGGAGACTCTCTACTGCCAAGGCTGACTCCCTGCGAGGCATCCCTGAGGAGAAGCTACATGGACCTACCCTGATGCAGCCCTGGGTGCTGGAGAAGCCACATGGAGACCCCTGCCAGCGCTGAGATGCTTAAAATGCCACTGGATCCAGAGACTTTCTACCCACTGGCTTCTGATCATCCTGCATTCAACATCATTAAATGTGTTTTGTGAGTCTGAAGAGGACTTTATAGATTGGTATCAGACATAGGGGCTAATATCGGACTTAACGGTTTGGACTGGACTTGGTTGGGATGCTTTCTTAATGTACAATTACCCTTTATATAAAACTCTGTCTTATACATACATGAGTTTCTATGGATTTGTTTCTCTAGTCTACCCGGACATATAACCATAACAATTTATCCAATCTCCTGACCATATACTTTGGCTAATTTTAATTGCTTTCTATTTAAGCATATGAATTATTGAGATTATCATATGAAAAATCATGTATTTTAGATGTTGGTTGTCACTCTAGATCATTCTCCCAAATATGTCATCCGTTAACATTCTGCTTCACCATCCAAAGGAGCTCCGGTGGCTCTGTGGGCTAGGCATTGGGCTGCTAACCACAAGGTTGGTGGTTCAAACTCACCAGCCATTTCACAGGAGAGATATAAGAATAGATGCTCCCATAAAGATTTATAGTCTCTGAAACAGTATACAGTGTTGCTGCCAATCAGAATTGACTCAATGGCAGGAGGTATGGTTTTCATTTGGGATCAGCCATCTAAGGATCTGTGGTAGCACAGAGGATTAAATATTGACTTGCTAACTGAAATGTTGGTGCTTTGTACCCATCAAAAGTGAGGCATTCGCTTCCCTAAATATGAATGATATTTAAAAAATTCATGGCAAATGCATATTACTGGGGGGGGGGGCACTGTGCCTATATTTAAAAATATTTTACACCAAAATAATCTCACACTAACTCTGTAACAGCAGTTCACAACCTGTTGGTCACGACCCCTTTGGGGGTCAACGACCGTTTCACAGGGGTCGCTAGATTCAGAACAGTAGCAAAATTACAGTTATGAAGTACCAGCAAAAATAATTTTATGGTTGGGGGTCACCACAACATGAGGAACTGTATGAAAGGGTCGCGGCATTAGGAAGGTTGAGAACCACTGCTGTAACATGTCTGAATAGGATTTGGTTTGTAGCACTAAGCAGGATATCATTTTGAAAAGATTTCTGCTAAAATTGAAGCAAAATCAAACATCAGATTGTAGTTGAAGCTTGAGTAGAAGAATGCTGCAGTCAGTGATGCTTTATGAAAAGTATATAAGAAATACTCCAAAAGAAAAAAGAAAAAAAATACTCCAAATAAATCAGCAGTTTATAAATGGATTACTCATTTTTTAAAAGGTACAAGATAAGAGCTCCCAATAAAATGATTTTTTTAATAATATATAAAAAAAGTAAAATAAGGTGCAAGATAAAGTTGAAAACGAAGCCTCCAGACTGGGGTATGCGCTGATAGCAGAGAAAGCAGAGAATGGGCGCCCCAGGTCTGTGGAGGTGGTGGTCATTGGACCTTGGGGAAAACCTTAGCTTTTGTGTTTTATTGTTTCTGTTGGGTATTCCAGTTTGTGAAGCACAGAAGGAGTAGATGCAGAGAGATAATATCCAATGGTTTATAGGGGATGTGGTGGTTGGATGTGGGAGATAGGGGGAGTGTGAGGGGATTTGACGAGCAAGCAATGAATGTGGAAGGGGGGAGGGAGCACTAGAACTGATTGTGATTATAAACTCATTTTCAAAGCAATTTAACCATGGAAGTATATCATATGTGAATACTATATCAGGAAAACCACAAGAAAAAAAAGTAGCCAAATGTGACCAATTGTTATCATATGTGAAGGGAGAAGAGTTGTTGTGTACGGGTGTTGAGTTTATGTCAGTGGTGGTAGAATCATTTGGAAAAGGATATCAATAATAGTTGTACAGCACAAAAAGAATAATCAGTGGCACTGAATTATACAAGTAGAAGTTATGGAATCGGAGAATGCTCTGGTGTGTATATTTTTGGCACAATTAGAAAATAATCATAATAATCAGAGGAATAACAGTGACTAAAAAGAAGAAGAAAATGTTCTAGAATTGAATATGATGACAGCTGTACATCTCTTCTGGATATGGTGGAATTAGGGAATGGTATGATGTGGGTAAAGTGTGGTAAAATTGCTGAAAAAGAAGGTTCCAGCAGCGAGCCACCTCCACCAATTGACTTTGTTCGGACTCTGACCAAAGCCGACCAGTGACCAACAGCAGAAGCAACAGCCAGTACCCAACACGTCTCGCTTGGGTCAGCTTACACAGTTCTGACTGAACAGCTAAAGTTGAGCACATTTGCTGCTCAGTGGGTATTAAAACTGTTGCACCCACGTCAGCTGCCGATAGAGCAAAGGTTTTCATGAAAATTTTCACAAGTATAAACAAGCTGCTGCAATATTTCTTGGGATAAAACATTTATTTTAAAATCATTTTATTGGGAACTTTACAGATAACAATCCATAATTCAATTAGATCGAGCATAATTGTGTAATCACTGCCACCATCATTTTCAAAGCATTTTCTTTTTTCTTGAACTCTGATAACTGCTCCCCTTGTTATCCTATCCTTTCCCTTCCTAACTTCCCCTCCCTAGCAGCCCTTTATATATATATATATATATATATATATATATATATATAAATTGCCATAGCTTATACCGTCCAATTTATCCATTCACTTACAATTCCTTTATTGGTTCTTCTCAAGTGGAGTTATACAGTCATCATTACTGTCAGTTCCCCCTCACCCCCCTTTCTTCCCATAACCTCAGGGAATCATTACTCCTATTACTATTTCTGTAAGGTGTATCTATCTTGAATTTCATGCATTGAACTATCTTAATTATAGAAATGAATGTACACAGGTCTCATAAGATTACTGTTGCCCTTCTGTGAGGAACTTAACAGACATTATTTTAAGAGCCATTTTAACAAGAGCTGAAACATGGCTTTACCAGTACAATCCTGAAGGCAACACACAATCAAAGCAATCGTCATTAAGAGGCTGAAATTGTCTAGTCAGTGCAAAAGTCAATTAGTCAAAAGAGAAAGAAAGGTCTTTGTGGCAGAATGCTAAAAACATTTTGCTTATTGAGTCTCTGGAGCAGCAAAGTAACCTCTGCTTACTGTGAGAGCATTTTGAGAGTTAGCCAAAACACCTGTCCACCTCGCAGAAAAACATCTGTCCGGCTCACTAAAGAGGCCTTCAAACAAGAGCACCTTTGTAGGTGTTTCAGTGGGAAATCCTTGGGCAACCGCCTGACAGTCCTGATTTGACTTCTGGTGACCTTTTGGTGTAATCTTAAGGAAATGGTAGTGGATACTTTTGTTTTTATCAACCATCTATGGGTGTACCTACTTATTCTTATATTTGTTGAACTCTTGGTACCCCCCCAACTATGAACTTTTGGGGCATTGTGATGGAGATGACTTGTAACTTGTGGGTTTGATTTGTAGTTTTTCGGTTAAAAGTGATCATTTATCATATTTTTAATAATCATTCATTTACATTGGGTTTCTTGATTTGTATCTGTTTTCTATCTTTCTGTTACTGTTTCCATCTGTTTCATGGGGAGGGGTTTTGGTGGAGAGGACGGGCTTGTTGTAGCTGTTCTATCCTCGTGATATTATTTGCCACTCTGAAACTTCAAAATTTCATGGACGTTGAATTGGCCGGGTTTTGCTTTTATGGCTTTGAGTTTGCTGCCTTGTTTACAGAAGCTATCCCACTCTAAAATTACTCATAAATGCACTTATTTCTTCTAGAACTTACATGGTTTTACATGTTTTGCCTTTTTAAAAATCAGCTTGGAATCTATTGTGTTGTAAAATGTAAGCAACTCATAGATCTTAAATCTGCATGAGCAACTTGATTAAATGTGAAATGCATACAGTGTTAGCAGCTTATCTTTTCATCCTGAAAAATAACTCACATGTTCCTCTTGACTGTGCTTGAAAGTTCAACCACTTTTTCATGTGTTGGCCAGTAAAGACGGTAAAGCTATCCTTGCTAATAAAAGTCTATTTTGAGAGGTACTATAATTATTTAGGAAGGGGGATTATGAATGTATTATGTAGGAAGGTGTATTATAAATGGACAGGTTTCTGGTATGGCATTGGTTAAAACAAAAAGCCTTTCCGACCTTGTAGTCTTTGACCTTACCTCCCATTTGCTTCTGTGTTCCTCTGTGAGTTAATTCAGTCATGCTTACTGCATGTGCTGAACAGATAAAGATATGCTAACACAGCCCCTACATTCAAGTTACCCATTGCATTGGGAGTTAAATGTAATAGATCTGTTGAACTGTTGCCCAGAAAATGCTGTTGACAAGGCCTTTTCTCTCATTATACTGTGAACAGAGTATTGAAATCATGTAAGATAATTGTGTAGGCATTAAGTCTAATGTTAAAAAGACTGAAAATGGTTACTCAGGACAGAGGTTTCACTCTGGAAATTACTGTGACCTGAAATGTGCTCTTGATTTCCTTTTGTTCTGCAGGTTCACTTTGACAGTTGGAGTAGTAGTTATGACTACTGGATAGATGCAGATTCTCCAGATATCCACCCCGTGGGTTGGTGTTCTAAAACTGGGCATCCTCTTCAGCCTCCTTTGAGTAAGAGACACAGAATAACTTAAAAATATGTATGTCTCTGCATTCTTGTATAGTGTCTGTAATATTTTCTTGTCTCCTCCTATCTACTTCTCTGCTGTATATATTCTTATATATGTAATTATATTCCTTTTTCTATGTGTTTAATTACCTGGTAGTCATGAAACTATAAAATAAGAAATATATATAATGCCTGAAAAGTAAAATATTTTCCAGGTATTAAAAAAAAATTATAGGCTCAGCTTATTGTAACTCCGGTTGCTTATCTGTTGACTATCTCACCTGACATTTAGCACTTCTGATAATAGTGAAAAATCTATTCTGTTTGGCACATTAATGGCTTTGGGGAAACAGCAATACTAGCAGTGAAGGTTATGGTTATTTGTCAGATTGGTTAGGCTCTGGGTCTCAGTGGTTTGGCAGTTGTGTATTAATGTAACCATCCTCTGTGTTGTGATCCGAATTGGTCATTCTCTATTGCCACAAGACCGAGCCTTTGGAACCTAACTATGTTAATTAGTGAGGAGGGGTACTTCCTCTCTCTTCTGATTTAAAAATTGGAATTTTAGGGATCTTTTATTCCTTTCCTGATACTGATTCCAGATATTTGACTCTTCTAGTCTTCTGTGTAAAGTCTTGCCTT